CACCCCTTAAAACTAAATTAAACTATTGTGGAATTAAAATCAAATTAGCCATAAAATACAATACAAAACTAATTGGCAAACATGTTGTGGCAGCCAGAGAAGTAAGAGCAGCAGATTAGCTCCATATGGCCGGGCAGTTATTCCAGGAAGGCCTGCCAGAAGAGATCCGTCTTTACTGCCTTTTTAAAGGCAGCAAGAGTAGTAATAAGACAGATCTTGTCCGGCAGGTCATTCCACAGCTTGGGAGCAGTCACAGAGAAGGCCATCTGGGAGGTCTGTGAAAGCCTGGTCTTCATGGGCTGCAACAGATTTCTCCCAGATGACTGAAGTGCGTGGGGGGAATCATACGGGGAGAGGCAGTCCCTGAAATAAGATGGACCCAAGCCATGTAGGGCTTTAAAGGTCAAAACCAACACCTTGTACTGTGTCCGGAAACTAATCGTAACTAGACTAGAGATCACAGTCACATAGTGTCCCCATGAATTCCAAACTAGAAACACTGAGGGGGTTGAAATCCAGGGGTTTTTAAGGGGTAAAACTAGCTTCAGGGCAAAAGTGTGGGATTGTATGGGTGGAGTAATCTGATCTGGAAATATTCAAGGTGAATAGGAAAGGATCAAGTCATTAGCTGGCCCATCAGGTGAGACATTGGGCAATTATCACCCATTCTTCTGAATATGGAGGTGATGATGGTCCATTTGCAACTCCCACACTATCTGCCTGGCTTTGGGATGGGTTTTTTTTTTCCAGTCTTCCAGGTGACTTTGGTATGACCTGCCTGTTATTGCCTAGGTGGCACTTGGGGTCCATTGCAGGGTACATCTGGGGTTATGTGGAATTCATACACACACAAAAATTCAGAAAAAGCACTTTGGCTAACAGTAGTTTAAACAGTGGTATGCATTGTCAGTACAATGCAGTACAATGGTTAGTGCACAAAGGTAAGGAAAATTATTACAATCACAAATGTAGAGAAATAGAAAACAACAAAAAGGGAAGAACGAGAAACCTATTCCACAAGATTTGAGAAATCAAGGGAAAGTTCAAACCAAGGACCAGGACACTCTACAGCAATAAAAATAACATAATTCAAGACCAGAAAGGAATAAAAAAGAGTAGGAAGAAATATCAACAATCTGATATATGCTGATAACACCATAATACTACCAAAAAAACTCACAGGCCTGGAACAACTTCTAAGGAAGATCAAAGAAGAAAGTGCAAAGGCAGACTTACTGTTGAACAGAAAGAAAACAAAAATAAACAAAAACAAAAATAATGACAACAGAGAACTTACACGCATTCAAACTAAACAATGAGGAAATAGAAATAGTAAGAGTTCTCATATCTGGGATCAAACATTGATCAGAACGGGGACTGCAGCCAGGAAATCAGGAGAAGATTAAGAATGGGGAGGGCGGCTATGAAAGAACTAGAAAAGATCCTAAAATGCAAAGACATATAACTCAGCAAAAAAATTAGAATCATACAAGCCCTTGTATTCCCTATTACCATGTATGGATGTGAGAACTGGACAGTCAAGAAAGAAGATAGGAGGAAAATCAACTCATTTGAGATGTGGTGCTGGAGAAGAGTGCTGAAGATTCCATGGACAGCCAAAAAAACAAACAAATGGATCCTAGAACAGGTAAAGCCGGAAAGATCCCTAGAAGCCAAGATGACAAAACTTAGACTGTCATACTTTGGACACATCATGAGAAGGCATGAATCGTTGGAAAACACAATAATGTTTGTAAAGGTGGAGGGAAGTAGAAAAAGAGGAAGGCCACATGCTAGATGGATGGACTTTGTTAAAGAGACCACAAATATGAGTCTTCAGGAGTTGGGCAGAACAGTAGAGGACAGGGGGGCCTGGAGATGTCTCATCCATAGGGTCACCATGCGTCGAGATCAAATTAAAGCAGTTAACAACAAACAACAAATGCATTGTCATTAACAGTGCATAGCACTCTCTGAAAAGATCTTCTGTCCTGTTCCTTCACTGCAAAAATTCTTCCCGGAGTAAACAGTGACAGATGGCTTTTCATTAAGTGGTAGACCAGCAAAGATTTTAGCTTAAGTTGATGTTGCCTTCTCTCTTTTTGAAATTAATGCTGCTTTTTGTTTGTATTTTATCGTATATACTTGTGTATAAGTCAAGAAATTTAGGTCAAAATTGACCCCCCCCCCAAATAACTGTGTTGACTTATACATGGGTGGGGAAAGGCTAAGAATGGCGGCCAATCATCCAGCAGCTTCTCCTTAACTGGGCTCTCTCCCCAGGAAAAAGCCCAGCTGGGAAGATGCTGGGGAGGACAAGTGATCGCCCTTGCTTCTTCCTAGCTCGCCTCCCTCTTCTGAAGAAAGCCCAGCTGGGAAGACACTGGGAGGGTAAGCAAGCCAGGCTCCTCCCCAGGAGAAAGCACAGCTGCACAGAGCTGGGAAGGGTGACCAATCGCCCTGCAGGCTTTCCACAGCTACGCTGCCTCCAGAAGTCTGACCCTCAACTTATCTACAGGTCATACCAAAATCCATACTTTTGGACCCAAAAGTTGACCTCAACTTATACATGAGGTCAACTTATAGTCAAGTATATACAGTATATAGCACTGCATTCTTTTGTGCATTTTCTATGACTTTATATGGAGTTCTGAAGAACATCTAATAAAGTGCTTTTTAAAAAAAAGAGGCAGGAAGCGACTTGAAGGCACACCACAAAGCGGGAGAAAGGGGGATCCCTCCAGTGAGTCAGACCCCAATTTGGGGCGCCTTGCTTCTCAGCCCATCCCAGAGCAAGAGGACCTAGGCTAGCAAGTGACTGCTCTCCAAGGCAAAAAGGATAAACCCACAGACATCATCACAGCTGAAGAGGTGGCAGGCCTATTCCCTTGGCAAAAGGTTTGCCCACAGGAGAAGGAAAGGAGGAGGGATGCTGACCTCTTCTCCATCCGCATCAGGGGGACCAGAGGTCCTAACCCCAAAGGAAGACTGTCCAGGAGGACAGAACTCAAGAAAAGCTTTTTAAAAACACACACACACATAGAAATAGAAAATTATGCTTCTTACTCCTGCTCCAAATGGAGGACAGTTTGACATTTCCTCCTGGAGAGGAGAGAAGATTGAATGAAATGTAGGACCCTCCCTGGAAAAGGAGTCTGGTCACCTGAAAGCAAAACAAAACATGCCCATTTCTAGTACATTTATAGGTTTTTTCACTTGAGTATGAAAGTTAAAAACGTCTTTTTTTCGCTTTTCACTTAATTCCATTTTTATTCTAATTACGTGAGAAATGCTTTTGCGCAATTTAGTGCTATTTTCACTTTATTTTCGGGATGCTTTATTCCCACTTTATTATCT